CCGAAATCCCAAAAAAACCCCACTGAAATCACCCAAACCTGACCCAAATCTGATCCAAACCTGACCCAAACCCAACCCCGGAGCGGCCGCTCCGAGTTCAACGACGCCATCGTCATCTCCAACCGGTCAGCCTTCCCGAAATGTCCCAAAATGTCCCAAAATGTCCCAAAATCCACCCAAAAATCCCTAAATCCCGGAAAAAATCCATCCTGGAATGGTGAAATCCCAAAAAAACCCCACTGAAATCACCCAAATCTGACCCAAATCCAACCCTGGAGCGGCCGCTCCGAGTTCAACGACGCCATCGTCATCTCCAACCGGTCAGCCTTCCCAAAAACCCCGGAATTCCCAAAAAAACCCCGGAATTCCCAAAAAAATCCATCCTGGAATCGGGAAAATACCGAAATCCCAAAAAAACCCCACTAAAATCACCCAAATCTGACCCAAACCCAACCCCGGAGCGGCCGCTCCGAGTTCAACGACGCCATCGTCATCTCCAACCGGTCAGCCTTCCCGAAATGTCCCAAAATCCACCCAAAAATCCCGGAATTCCCAAAAAAATGCCGGAATTCCCAAGAAAATCCACCCTGGAATGGTGAAATCCCAAAAAAACCCCACTGAAATCACCCAAACCTGACCCAAAAACCCCAGAATTCCCAAAAAATTCCATCCTGGAGCGGTCCCAAAAAAAACCCTCAAAATATCCCAAAATCCACCCAAAATATCCCAAAATCCCCCCCAAAATATCCCAAAATATCCCAAAATATCCCAAAATATCCCCAAAATCCACCCAAAATATCCCAAAATATCCCAAAATATCCCAAAATCCACCCAAAATATCCCAAAATATCCCAAAATGTCCCAAAATCCACCCAAAAATCTCCCGAATTCCCAAAAAAATTCCCCATTTTTGGGGTTAATTTCCCATTTTTTGGGTTTGTTTCCCATTTTTCTGTTAATTTCCCCATTTTTGGGTCAATTTCCCCATTTTTGGGTCACTTTCCCCATTTTTGGGGTCAATTTCCCCATTTTTGGGTCAATTTCCCCGTTTTTGGGGTTAATTTCCCCGTTTTTGGGGTTAATTTCCCCATTTTTGGGGTTCCTTTCCCCGTTTTTGGGTCACTTTCCCCGTTTTTGGGGTTAATTTCCCCATTTTTTGGGTCACTTTCCCCATTTTCGGGGTTCCTTTCCCCATTTTTGGGGTCAATTTCCCCGTTTTTGGGGTTAATTTCCCCGTTTTTGGGTCACTTTCCCCATTTTTGGGGTCAATTTCCCCATTTTTGGGTCAATTTCCCCATTTTTGGGTCACTTTCCCCGTTTTTGGGGTCAATTTCCCCGTTTTTGGGTCAATTTCCCCATTTTTGGGTCAATTTCCCCGTTTTTGGGGTTAATTTCCCTGTTTTTGGGGTCAATTTCCCCGTTTTTGGGGTTCCTTTCCCCATTTTCGGGGTTCCTTTCCCCGTTTTTGGGTTAATTTCCCCGTTTTTGGGGTTAATTTCCCCATTTTCGGGGTTCCTTTCCCCGTTTTTGGGTTAATTTCCCCATTTTCGGGGTTCCTTTCCCCGTTTTTGGGGTTCCTTTCCCCGTTTTTGGGTTAATTTCCCCGTTTTTGGGGCCGCAGGGCGCTGAGGGACGGGGAGCTGTTCGAGATCGTCATCCAGAAGATGGTGGATCGCTGGTCGGGCTCCATCGAGGCCGGTGAGGGGAGCCTGGGGACAGCTGGGGACACCTGGGGACACCTGGGGACAGCTGGGGACACCTGGGGACACCTGGGGACAATTTGGGGACAATTTGGGGACATTTCAGGACATTTAGAGCCATTTTGGGTCCATTTGGGGACATCTGGGGACATTTTGGGACAATTTGGGTCCATTTGGGGACAATTTGGGGATATTTGGGGACATCTGGGGACATTTTGGGACAATTTGGGGACATTTTGAGGACATTTGGGGACATTTGGGGACATTTTGGGGACATTTTGAGGATATTTGGGGACATTTGGGGACATTTGGGGACATTTTGGGACAATTTGGGGACATTTGGGGACATTTTGGGGACATTTTGAGGATATTTGGGGACATTTTGGGACAATTTGGGGACATTTTGAGGACATTTGGGCCATTTGGGGACATTTGGGGACATTTTGGGGACATTTCAGGACATTTAGAGCCATTTTGGGGACATTTGGGGACAATTTGGGGACATTTGGGGACATTTTGGGGACATTTGGGGACAATTTGGGGACATTTTGGGGACATTTTGGGTCCATTTGGGGACATTTTGGGACAATTTGGGGACATTTGGGGACATTTTGGGGACATTTTGAGGACATTTGAGGACATTTGGGGACATTTTGGGGACATTTCAGGACATTTAGAGCCATTTTGGGTCGGACATTTGGGGACATTTTGGGGACATTTCAGGACATTTAGAGCCATTTTGGGTCCATTTGGGGACAATTTGGGGATATTTGAGGAAATCTGGGGACATTTTGTGTCCATTTGGGGACATTTTGGGACATTTGGGGACATTTGGGGGACATTTCAGGACATTTTGGGGACATTTTGGGGCCATTTGGGGCCATTTCGGGACATTGGGATGGACGTGAGGGACCTTGGGGACACCTTGGGGTGACAGAGGTGTCCCCGTGTGCCCCCAGGTGTCACCGCCATCCGCCCCGAGGACCTGGAGTTCCCCAACACCATGACAGACATCGACTACGACACCTGGATGCTGAGGTGGGGACACCTGGGGACACCTGGGGACAGCTGGGGACAGCTGGGGACACCTGGGGACACCTGGGGACACACCTGGGGACACCTGGGGACAGCTGGGGACAGCTGGGGACAGTGACAGGTGACATGGGGACACCTGGGGACACCTGGGGACAGCTGGGACATCTGTGTGACAGCTGGGGACACACCTGGGACACCTGGGGACAGCTGGGGACACCTAGAACACACCTGGAGCACACCTGTACACATCTGTGCACATCTGGGGACACCAATGTCCCCAAAGGGGTCAGCCGGGGTCCCTCTTTGTCCCTCCTGTCCTTGATGTCCCCAGGGGTCCCTGGGGTGTTCTGGGGGTGTCCTGGGGGTGTCCCCACGGTGTCCCCACGGTGTCCCCATGGTGTCCCCATTGCAGTGGCACGGCCATCACGCAGGACGGGAACACCATGAGGAACAATTACGGCTGTGACCTGTGACCATGGCTGTGTCCCTGTGTCCCTGTGTCCCCATGGCTGTGTCAGGGCTGTGTCAGGGCTGTCAGGGCTGTGTCCGGGCTGTGTCCCCATGTCCCCACGGTGTCCCCATGTCCCCACGGTGTCCCCATGTCCCCACAGTGGCACGGCCATCATGCAGGACGGGAACACCATGAGGAACAATTACGGCTGTGACCTGTGACCTGTGTCACTGTGTCACTGTGTCCCCATGGCTGTGTCAGGGCTGTGTCAGGGCTGTCAGGGCTGTGTCAGGGCTGTGTCCCCATGTCCCCACGGTGTCCCCAATGTCCCCACGATGTCCCCACAGTGGCACGGCCATCATGCAGGACGGGAACACCATGAGGAACAATTACGGCTGTGACCTGGACGCGCTGGGCACGGGCGCCCGGATCGGGATGATGCGCACGGGGGGAGGGGACCTGCGCTACTTCATCGACGGCGCCGACCAGGGCGTGGCCTGCTCGGGACTGCCACCAGGTATGGGGACACTGGGGACACTGGGGACATTGGGGACATTGGGGACACTGGGGACACCCAGGGCGTGGCCTGCTCGGGACTGCCACCAGGTATGGGGACATCACTGGGGACATTGGGGACACCCAGGGGATTGGGGACACCCAGGGCGTGGCCTGCTCGGGACTGCCACCAGGTATGGGGACACTGGGGACATCACTGGGGACATGGGGGACAGGGACAGGGACATCCTGGGGA